TCTATTAGCTTAGTATACTTAAGAGGCTTTATATATATATTAGATTAATATATATTAAGGCTTTCTAGACTTTATTACTATAGATATTAATACTAACTTCTATAGCTATAAATTTAAGTATACTACTTATACTTTAGTAATTACTATTAAAGAAGTCTCTATTAAGGCTTATTATAGTATTAATAAGGTTAAACGTTATTATACTATTTTATACTATACCTATAATATTATCTATACTAAAAACCTTTTTATCCCTTATAAGTAAGTCCTATAGATAACTATTAAGACTATTAATAATACTACTAAGCTTAATAGTTTAATCTTAACCTTATTTATCTTTAGTGTTTACTTTTAAGTAACTAAGGATTTAGTATTATTTCTAGGTATTACTAAGTGTTAAGAAGCTATATAAAAAGCTACTAATAAACTCTACTATATATATACTAAATACTAAGTTTCTAATACTTTTACCCTCTATAATAGCTTAAGTATATTATTAATACTAGCTTTCTTACTATAGTTAGATATTCTTATATAGTATAAGAATAAAAGTTAAGCTAGCTTATATAAGCTTCTCTTTATTAATAGGGAGGATTATATATTTAATCTACTTTATAAGCTAAGAATATTTTAATTAACCTATATTAAGCTTTTTTATAATAACTTAGATAAAGATATTATTAATACTAACTCTCTACTAAATACCCTTAAAGTATTAATAATACTAGTAAAAAAAGACTAAGAAGGATTATTAGTACTAGTATTACTACTATTATATTAATATAGCTAGCTTTATAAGGGAGAAAAACACTTAAAACTACTTTTAAATAAACTACACTAAAGTTTATAAAGATAGATACCTATAGTAAAGATAGTTAATATTAACCTTACTCCTAATATTAACTTTATATTAGAGGTTAATAATATTAATACTACTACTATATTCTTTACTACTAATAAAGTCTTTATAACTAATAAGGAATATACTAACCTTAACTTAGCTATATAGCTCTATAAAGTAGGTAAGATTAATATACTTAACTACTTCTTTAAGTAATCTAATAAGGCTGAAATTAAGAGACTTATTAATTAAAGCGTTTTTAAGATAGTTATATATAACCTTATTAAGTATATAAATATCTATATCTTCTAATTATAAATAGTTAATAAGATTAAAAATAAGAACACTAATAAGCTTTATAAGAAGTCCTACCTTATTATCTAAAGATATACTAATAATAATAAGGAAGTAATTTTAATATAATCTCTAATAATATAGTATATAAACTAACGCTTTATCCTTACTATTACTTTATAGTTACTACTTTCTAATAAGATCTTCTAGTTTCACAATATAACATAAATATACGTTTAGTTAGTAATAAAGCTTAATAGAATAATCTTTATACACTTATTTACTTAGATTTATAACTAATACCTAGAAAGTATTATTATAAGAGTTATTAAGCTACTCTATAATATTACTAAAGCTAGCACCTACTAATAAGCTATATATAGCTATTACTATAGAGAAGTTCTCTAGATAGTTACTTTAAGCTATAATCCCTACCTTTTAGTCCTTTTTACTATTAACCCTAACTTTATAGTTATTAATATATAAACTAATAATATTTTAAGCCTCACTAATACTAATTTTTCAGCTTATAAGGATAAAGCTCTAACTAAAGCCTTATTTATAATAAAAGCTAAGTAATAACTTACTATTAACTAACTATTAATATTTAATAGTAGTATTATTAATATTAATAAGTTAGGAACTATTATCCTCTATTAGAAGGGTTAAGGTAAGAAGCTTACTTTTATTAATACTAATACTACTCTTAACGTTATTAAGAAGTAATATATTAAATAATATATATATAAAGTATATATTATATTAATCTACTAGCTTAAGGTATATTATAATCTATTAACTGCTACTTAGTATTAAGACCTCTTACTTAATAATATTAAGGCTTTTAATATATAACTATAGTAGTAGATAGCTTTACTAACGTAAAGGTTAATATTTATACTTATTAACTTATTAACTGCTAAACTCTTTATTTTTATTAATAGCTTATTTACTAATAATATTAACTTAACGTTATAGCTTAGTTTTACTATTATTCTTATTAATAAAACCTTTTTTAATAAGAATAAGTTTATAATTAATAGTAATATTATCTATTTTAGTTTAATAAAGAGTAAGTAAGTTATTTAAAGTATATTAGCCTCTAAAATCTATAGTATAGTTATTAGTATTAATATAGTTTATACTATTTTTATAACTTTCTAAATAATTACTAAATAGCTTAACCTACTTCTAATACTTATTATTATTTATACTAATTTATACTTACTATATAAGTGCTTTATTAAGCTAAGTATTATAAAAGAGAAGTATTTAATAATTAATATTATAGCTTTATAGTAGTTATATAAATACTATAAGCTATATAAAATATACTAAATTAATAGTGATAATAACTTTATTAATACTTTTACTAAAATAAAACCTAACTAATACCTTATATACTTCTTTAATATAAACTTAGTAATAATATAGATAGAGGGATAGGTTATATAAGCCTAAGTAGTACTAATTACTAATACTAACTTAAAGTAGGATTAAGTAATAGTTATAGAATAACTACTAAAATAGGGGTTATAAGTAATTATAAGTAATTACTATAATTACTAGTAATTACTGCTTTTTGCGTTATATATTATTTAATAACTTCTTTTTGAATTATATTATAGTTACTATTAACTATATTAATACTAATAAAAAGAGAAAGTTACTAGTATTAGTAACACTAGCTTATTATAGCGTTAATTAAGCTAGGTACGCTTTATATAATTAGCGATTATATAAAGCACTAGCCTCTGCAATTAACGCTACAATTGCAGCTACTACCTCTAACGTAGTTAACCTTATCTATATCACTACTAACGTAGTTAATATAATACGATATTTGCTGCCTATAGTGCCCTACTAGCTAGCTGGTCCTGTGAGACCAACATTAAGTAATGTACAAAAAGAATGTACGTACATGCGACGAAATCAGTAGTTATCTGAAGAAAGACGTGGTGGTTGTATGGGAGTTGTCACAGCACAACTGGAATTCCTATAGAAAGTCTTAAAAGACGTCGAAACTAACCTATGCCCATTTTGACATAGATGAACTTAATTGACTAGGTCATAGAGCCTTGGCCATGGAACCTACGTGTGGTTGGATGCGTAGTCTAATGCTCTCAACTGCAGAATCAAGGGTATGCGTAGATGTTTCATGCTAGCCCCTTTGTGTAAACTGGACGAAAATTCGTGCGTTACAAGGGATAATCCAACAATATGGTGTTTTGGCTGAATGTGTTGAAGCCGGATTCAAGCGAAAGTTGTAGCAAAGGGTTGGAGTGTAGTCGAGTTACGCATGGCCTCAACCTCCAGAAACAACTATATTAAAATAACAACCTGCGTGATATATGATGTTCTCACCATCTTCAACTTGCCTGTGAGTCCTGATTTCCCGTATAGTGGGCCACAAATAGTAATGATTCCATCAAAGTGATGATTTATGCATAGCAGATATGACATTAGATAACAGGACTTTAGGAGCTTGTGAAATCGATACGCACGTTTTATACCACAGGTCGCTCAGAGAAATAATCACGGATTCGCTAGCAAAATTGGTACGCTAACTACCAAAACGAACGTCAGACATGAATCTTTCTTCCCTTCTAACTTTTTTCTTCGCAGTTTACCGCCAGCATTGCGTCTAATCCTACTAGTGTAGGATACCGCGACAGTGGAGACCGAAGATCGCACTAAATAGACGACCCGTCACTAGTACGATTACAACGCATGGGACCGGGAGGTAGGAAACTCTGAATTGACGGCAACTTCAGTGGAAAGTGAAATGCTATTTGGCGCTTTGACCGGCACTTGGCCTAGGGGGTGCCTCAGGGTCTGACCAGGAACTGTCCTATGGGCGACAGCGGCTTTCTGCAGCTCCTTAATATAGCCTCGCAGACACAAGACGTCAAAGTGATTGGCGAAAGCTTCTTGTGAGTGATCACATGATCAATTCGTCAAGCCAGTCACCCGCGAACAGGAGGAGAAGGGTGTCATGAGTGGCACGTTGTGTCTCAAGGGATGCACCTTGGCAGACGTGTTGACATTGCCTTCTCATGACCCCTCAATTCCTACATACCACGCCGATCAACAGTCTGATGGTGCTGTGATACGAGTAGGAAATCCTCACCTTGTCAGTCGAGATGGTCTAAGCAACTGAAGCTATCTCCAAGGGCCTTGTGTGGACTCGTGAGGTCTCGGCGCGCGTGATGGTCCACCATGAACATCGGGAAAAACTGACGACCTAACCAATGAAAAGAGCAGCGATATATGGATAACGGAGCCGCTAGTCACTAAGGACGAGTCAAAGTTGTCAGGGCGGGAACAGGGTTCAACAAATGCTCGCCTCACCTTGCTACTCCACCTCATTGGCCAGGTAGCCGTGGTATGACCACAAGCTAGGAAGCAAAATAATGGGACTGATCAATCATCTAGCTTGAAAAGCACCAGGGCGAAGTCTATTCGCCGGGTCGAAAAGGAGTCAGCATGGTGATTTGATGTAGAGGGCTATTCGTAGTGCATGTTCGTTTACTGGTCATAATGGAAGGTCGCTCGTGGCCTGATAACTCACTAGCGCCCACTCTCCTTTTCACAGCATTTTAATTTTGACATCAACTCAGATGTTTGACCAGAACGATTTTAACTATGCAATATTACGACCCTTCGATTGCACTGACCGACAACTACTAGTACAGCTCTCGTCAAAATACCAAACAAGAACTTTTCACGCCGCCGGGGATAAGAGAACAACAGAAACCAGGTTTTCCTTTCTCAAGATAGGTGACGTCGAAATGCTATGATGAGTGACTTCATGGCTCATGTCATGCCATATCCTACACTCCTCCCATACCCCCTTCCTTATCCTTTACTTTTGACGATGGCTGGACTTGGAGTGTTTCTTCTTTTTCTTCTTCTCATCATGATTTGGACTGCTACTTCAGTTAGAGAGCTCTCAAGATGCCGGAAGAAACTCATACCTGCTAGGTCTGTTGACATAAGTCGACATCGATCTTTCGGATCTCCCTGGGAGATTTTGCAAGTTCAATTGTATTGGGTCACGGCCGCGGGGATCTTCTTGGGCTGGTACGGGATCAAAGTTGGCTCCAGGTGGATTCCAAGCGCCCATGTGCCTAAAATCCTGGGATGACGGGGTTCCGACTGTGAAAGCTGTGGAGGCCGACTGCATGCTCGACGAATAGTACGCGCCGGGAATCCCATCACCCATGGCGGGGTCAGGCTGTGCGGTGCTGAAATCGTTCCCGCTCCCTCCATAAGGCTGAGAAGGCAAAGTTGCATTCCAGTCCATTTGCTGCTGTGCCGCCGGCTGATACCAATATCCATCGGGCTGGCCAGCTGCTGCGTTCTGCGGGGATGAATGGGGGTGGCCAGTCTGTGCGTGGCCCATACCAAAGTGGTGCGATGAAGAACGACAAGGTATGGGCTGTGGCGGCGAGTTCGCCATTTGCTGGGCGTCGTAAGGTTGGTGGGGGTAAGACATGGAACCTCGATTATTCTGGCCCGAAGTGCCTTGCTGCTGTTGGAGACCGGCAAGTGTGCGCTTTGAGCTGCTCGAGACTATGTCTGTCTTTGTTTCAACGTCAAGAGAAAAATGACTTTGCTCATCGAAAAGACTTCAGGGGCGGGACAGCGAGGAGAGAACTGTATTAATACCTTTGCAGGATGCCATCGAAACATCGTCCCATGAACAACAGGCGTTTACTACCAGCGACCTCTTAATTGTCGTCGGGGGACGTGCGATTCGGATCACATTTCACAATAATCATCATAGCGTTGGGCGCGATTTTGTTACAAAGATGAAAGCCCTACGGGATCGTTGGGCACGAACAAATGCTTGGAATAGACACAAAATTCGGATTGCCCTATCATGGGCAGCCTCAAAAACACGGCGTCGTCTGCTAGCTGCTGCTGCCTAGAGTGCTAGAGGAGGTGTGGGCTCACTCAAATCTGCCTTCTCACGGTCTTCAGATAGCTGAAAAGTCATGAGCAGAATAAGCGATGCGGACTAAAGATGGTTCGCCCCAGAGCCCCCATTTCCGGGAAGGTGAAGGTAAGTAGGATCTCTTGCTAACGCATCTCACAGTTTTCAACTTGAGCCGACCACGTATGCACATGGCCGAGGCCGCTCCGAATTCGATGACCATCGCGCTGTATCACAGCTTAAGGACCTGTTCGGATAACAAGACACGGGGTTGCCATCCCGCCGAGGCATACGTACCCCACAGAATCAAAGGCCTTGACGCAGAGATGCATTTTGGTTCGTTAATCGGCCAATTCTCATCAGCCTTGTTTCCAGATGTGCATAATGGCTCTGGAGGATTTTCAGGTGTAGCCCAGTGAAACAAACTTGCAGATGCCGTTTCTCAGCCAGCCATTGCTGGCTTCTTTTCAAACAGAAAGGCCAGGGGGCGATTACGACACCATGTTCTGATTTAGGACTGGGTGGCATCACAGTCTTAATGCGGCCTGTAAGCGCATGTGTGCTCTTCCAGAACAGTGGTCTGCAAGCCCGGATCGTCCTTCATGCGTCAAAATGATCACGGCAACCCCGAGAATCAAATAGCCGCAACAGCGATTACAACAAGGCGGTGAGACCACGACGAGCCCTGTTTGATGCCTGAACTAACTCGGGGTTCAAAGTTGATTCTTAGACACGGCAAAGCGAAAATTTAACCGCTTCGGAAAACCGACAAATTTCCTTGTTTCATGCTGACGTCTTGGATGGAGGCGTTGTCCCCGTCTGCCTGCACGGTACCTTCAGTGCTTAGGTTCTTGTTGGCCCTGTTGACGCTCGAATTGCAGTGATCTACAGCGCAGAATTCCCACCACATCGGCTTGCTTCCGCTTGCCCGGCATGTTGTCATCAGCGATTGGACCAATTCCGCTCAACATTGTATACCTTCAGTGATCAAACTCGTACTTTTGAGTTGTCAAACTCCACAGACTGAACATGACTGGTTTGCGATGATCAATTCCTGGCAAAAGTGCTTGCGCCGTCCGCAGGTTTGCACAAGGCCGAGAAATCCTTCTCAGTTTATGACACTGTGAACGTACCAAATTAGCTGTCGAGATACCGTCGCACGCGGAGACACTATCAGAACTACCATTGCCCCGCTAAAGCTTCTGTACATGTTCATGGACGTTGTACCTGAAGTGGCTCCAACGTCAATCGCTGTAGTATCTCGGTCCTGCAGGGTACCTTGCGTTTACGGCTATCCAGCCTGACCACTCAAAGACGTCACGATCACCGAGAAATTGACCGGACAGCTCGGCGTCTTCGTTTACTTGTTCGAAATCCGCGAAACGAGTGACTGACCGTGGGTCTAGCCCCTATCCCTAATTCTGTCTTGGTAGACCCCCAGCGCTAAACATTTGATACTTGAGCTGGCCGTCTTGATCAAGTTCATGGCTTGCATCGTTGATCACTGCAGAGTAAGCACCATCCCAGTCTTCATGTTCACATATCAGTCACAGACGCATCGATGATAGCAAAGCAACAGACAAGGAAAGCACACGCTATCTTCCGCAGTCGCAGGGCCTTCGGGCGCCGCCGGCCGCCGACGCTTCCATTCATCCAGTCAGAATGAGCAGTCTGGCCCGCGAGAATTGGTTGGCCATAGATACTTTGATAGGCCCTGGTCAGCAATCGCTCCGTTCTGGGCCGTCTGGGCGGCTGCATCTTGCCCTAAGCAGCTACGTATTTGTCATAGGTGACCTTGGGATCTGGATGACCAGGCGGCGACGATGAAAAGGACGCATCGTATGTCCTTGGAATAAGTTACAATACACAAAAAAGAGTGGGAAGCTTCGTGTTAATGTTGCAGCAAGACCAACATTCGACTTGAAATGAGGTTGCGACTGTCATGTAAGGAACAATCGTACCTTGGGCACCTGGTCATTGACTTCATGAGTCTGAAATGCGAGAACTAAAAAGTCGAATCATGTGTCCTTGATATTCAGCGAATTTCCGCCTGTCGGTACCCAGTGGGCTTCCACCCAAGCTTAGGGGTATTGCTTTCTGCTCAGTTCAAAGACGTATAATAACACATGCTATATTTTAATTCCTTCTACCTCCTTCTGATCAGTGATGATTGCATCAGTATTCGCTTCAATCATGACCGTTTCGCGTTGCTAACCATCCAGAATTCTAGACCTCAAATCAGAACCCATACTGCTCTGCATGTAGACAGATTCCTTGCGCCCCAGTACCCTTGTGTACGGCTCTCTCGTCTGAGAGTTGGGCGACACAATTTCTAACTGTAGCTACTAGAGACGAGCCACCACAAACAACAACCAAGGATTCTCCGCCGGCAGCTTCAATCGGTTGTCGTATGAAGCTCTTGATGTCCGGCCGCGAGGTCGAGAGGTTGATCTTCGCTGAAGATCTGGCCCCGGTGTTATTGTACGCCTGACGGGCGCCATCAGCTTCAATGTCAGTCATCGCTGAGAACTTCGTGGCCGCTTTTTCGGCCTCTATATCGTAATCGCCCGATGCAAAAGACGAAGGTCTGTCTTTGACCAACCGCGTCAAATCTGACGAGGATGGAGATGTTACGCCGCCCGTTACCGCAATGTGAACGTTCAACTCCATACAGTTGCTTCCTCGTCCCACCATAGCTTTCAACTCTTGTAGACGCTCAACGTAAAATGCGATCTCGTCTGCTTCCTTAGCCATGATAAGAAAGTCAACCCGCGTTACGCAAGTTTTCCTGTCTGTTGTAATAACGCCCTCTAGCATGGAAAGAGTAAAGGAGGCGCCAGTAGAGGCCGCAATGAGGACTAAGGTCTCGTAATGGCTACTTGCAGGTGGATGTCCATAGGGACCCATAACGAAGGCCGTCAAAACCTTAGATTGGGCATCGTTCTGAGAGGCGAAGCGATGAAGTCTGCGCGAGAAGCCCGCGTGCTTGCGTACAACCAAATGCATACTATTGTTTCGCGTCTTTTTCTCCTTGTCTGTTGATTGATTTACACCAGCGATGGTGTATGGATGAGTCTGCGTCGGTCCGACCCCTGGTAGCCATAGATAAATGTGCTGGCCTGGCTTCCAGCTAAAGTCGATGTTCTCAATGGTCAGAACCGTTGTCTGCAATCCTGAAATCTTGACCCGAGCGGGATGACCGAGCCGCCGTCCTGCGCTCATCTGGGAGTTGTTGCGAACGAGCAGTACTGTTCTTCCAAGTCGATCGGAGGCAACAGCTGCTACCGAGACCCAGATAGCTGCCTGCGCGTAGCTGGGAACATGGACGTAAAGAAGCCAGAGGAAAACTACAGCGCTTATGGCGTGTTGCGCTACAAAGAGCTCGTAGCAGAGAGACCGGAGTGGGCCAAGAGAAGTGATAAACTGCAAGGCCAAGACTGCCCAAGCCGCAAAGCCATACCGGATCATGGGGCCCATCATCGATATCTGCAACTCAACCATGTCGGCGAGAACCCATTCGGTGTAGAAGTAGAACCCGTGAACCGTTGCCGAGAGTAGTAGAGTGCGAGCCACCCACCGATGAAGCCAGTTCAGGCGCTCGTGGCCGGAGCCAACGACGAGGCCAAAGATGCTGTACTTAGACGCCAAGAGGTAGACTAGCGGCACTTGCATGGTGGCAATCCAGGCGTTCCGAAAGCCAATACGCTCCCAGAAGTATCCGTCCGAGATGGCTGTCCCAGCCGCCATCATGTATGCGATTATGATCCAGTAAACCAGCAATACCAGAGAACGACCTAACGGCGGTGGGCTCATCCAGGAAAGCCATGCTTTGCTGATGAAAAGCTGCGGATAGCTCATCTCTCTGGAGAGGGCTGTCATCGTTGCAAAGACCTTCTGGAAGCCATTGGTTGGTCGAGTAGGATGTCGGATGGAACCTGAAGTAAGGCGGCGAAGTCTGGAAAATGTCTGAATCAGCCATCAAGTAAGACGATGACGATAAAGACTACAGTTGAATAGTGTTCCCACCGGATCATACACCAAAACAGAACATAAAGGCGTACCTACCTGGTACGTGACTGGTGCAGACTCAACAGCCGCAGGACGGCGATACTGCCGAGGACGCTTCCAATGATGATCCAAAAATCACGAGCCAGCTCGATGTTTGTCGTCTGGAACATGTTCATGCCCATGTCCATGGACATGCCGCCCATGTTACTCATATCCATCGCGGCGAATATGATGGGAGACGCCACTAAAATGGACGATGTCGTGCGATGTAACGGATGCGAAGGCCTGCTTCCAGCGCGGGATTTTTTTGAAAACGATGAAAGAAGAAATCAAGTTCAAATTAGAAGGAAATGTATATGTTTGGGTAAAACAGCATATCAACCGACGTCAAAATCAAACAAAACTGGCTGACGTCTTCAGGCACACGCGGCGGAGGGGAAAGATCGTTGTGACATATCTCAACTGCAACCAGTGACGGTGAACTACTTACAAATTCGGATATTCTTGGGAAGTCATCCTGCATCATCCGTTCTTCTCACATCCATGTATGCTGTACCATGTGAGTGGGCTTCTTCCCCCGCATGTACCACCGTAGGAAAGGAGCCTTCCGGCCTCTTCGTGTGGACTGGGACTTGGTTTCGCCCAACCATATAACACCATAGGAGATCAAACCATATTCTGACCAATCATATAATTGAAGATCTAATGAAGTTGAAGAAAGCCCGCAGTTACATGGGGCCTTCAGATATGCTTTGTTGCGCCCGCATGGATCTCCGTCCAGTCCGTGATCCCCTGAAAAAAGGGTTGGGTGGCCGCATTTATTCAATTACCAGCTACTCTTATGCAATATAAAGACACGACTAGTTCTCAAACGCGAGAAGGGGTCTGTCTTCGTCTCAACAGAGCTTAGAGCCTTCGTGCCAAAACAAGCTCAATTCTTCTCAATGCCACGAACTAAGTTTCACCATTTCAGCCACCGGCACCCAGGAACCGTGGTATGCCGTTGTCACTGGATCGTGGAAAAAATGCTTGTTTCTCGTACATCGGGTGTTTGCCGCAACTCTGGGAAAGGCGAAATCTGCCTCAATCTCCCTCAGAGTTCTGGTAGTGCTCCAAAGGGTGTGGCGTTGTGCCGCTAACACTGGTCATCTGCTCCCTGGGCAACGATGCTAAGGAGCCGTTTTACCGGCACCGGCAAGCTCCATTTTCTCTTCAAACAGCCGTCTTTCAGGGACTGGCCTTACATGGTGGGAAAGCATGATACTACTATATGTATTTCCCAAATTTGCTCACTGATATTGTGCAGCCTTTACGACATCCTTGGCCGACTATTTATCACCAAGCAGCACCCTCCGTCTTTGCGTGACATCCGACAGCACAAACCTTTTGTTTCTTGATTCAAAGTTTCGTTTTAATCGCAGTATCGTTTTCACTGAGGCTGGTTCTCACTATCATTACATAATACTCAGTCACCTACACATCATTCTCCTGCCGCCGTACGTCCGTTAATACAACATGGCACCAATTCGATCGATCGCTGCTACAGCTCTGCTGCTGGTGTCGGCGGCTCAAGCACACTTCAAGCTCAACTCTCCGCCCACAATTGGCTTCAGCGATGATAACGAGGGCTCTGCTCCTTGCGGAAGCTTCACTCCAGACTTCACCAAGGACAACGTGACAGATTTCCACGTCAGCGGCGAGGCCATCTCGTTATTGCTTGCGCACCCTCAGGCCAACTGGCTGTTCCGTGGTACACTGGATCAGACGGCTGCTTCGAACTGGAAACAGCTGTTTCCTATCGTACAGCAGAAGGGGCTGGGCGACTTTTGCGAACCTTCCGTAACTGCACCTGCAAGCTGGGTCGGCAAGAAGGGCGTCTTGAGTGTTGTCGCCGACGGACCAGACGGTTTGCTCTACCAAGTAAGTGACAACATCTCAGCACGATACCTTTTTGGTTTGAAGGTCAAATCAGATATCTAAGTCTCCATGCTTCCCTGCTCGTTTCCCCAATATCTTGTCTCTGGACAACTACTAATGCATACGATCTAGTGCTCCGCCGTAAACTTCGTCGAGGGTACAGGCACCCAACCCGCGAGCTGCAAGAACGCAACCTCCGTCTCCGCTTCCTTCGCAACGGACTCCAAGCTGACTGCGTTGGTGGCGAATGGGACCGGTAGCGCAACCCAGCCATCGACATCGAACAGCGCTAACAGCGGCGCTTCTGCCAAAGGTGCTGCTATATCTGTGGGTGGCCTCATGGTTCTGGCGGGCGCGGTCGTCGTTGGGTCCGCGATGCAGTGATGGAAAGAGACAAACACGACCAAGGTCAAAAACTGTTATCATGCACATTTGACTAGTTTTATTTTCGTTCTACAAAATACAATGCGCCTTGCACGTCATTTCATGGTCGTCATTAGTAACCGAGGTATTAGCCACCTCGCTTGATCTTCCGTAACACATGCGCCTTGGCTTATATTTACCTTGAGCATTCGGTTATCACTACCCGGACTGAGGCCTGCTATTTCTCTGACACATTCGTTCGACTTCGTGCAATCAGCAAAGAAGAGCCCAAGCCGTTCGAGGCCTGCTCAGACCAGCCAGCCCTGCAAGCCTAGACAGCCTAGCGAAGGGGAAGACACATGACCTGCAAGAACGACAAGGAGCATTGGATAGCAGGACCAGTCAGAAACAGGTGCTTCACCGGCACCGAGAATCCTTCCCTATCGCCCTCGAGTTTTGCTTCTTAGCGTTCGGCCAGCTTACGTACAATCCGATAGCCGTCTCTCAAACGCGCAACGCTATTGCTTTTGAGATATCGAACTCAATCACTATCATCGGATACTCGTTCCGGAGATTCGACCCACATCACCCCAGACATCCCCTTGTAATCGTCGATGTAACGTGCCCGAGATATGCAATGCAGATACGGCGTCATCTTTCTTGTCTCTGGAAATCGTAATCATATTTCCTTCAATCTAAGCCTTGAAAAGCTCCCATAAATGGTAGCCTCGTCTGGTCAGTTTTGACAGAACACCGATGTCCCAATTCTCAGGCCTTTGCAGCATTCTATCTCGAGCGCTCTCCAAGCTAGTCTGCATCGCCAAGAAAATCAAGCGATATTGACAGTCATAGACATCTTCATACCAGTAAAATTGGACAGCTGCGAGTTCTGCAAACACCCACCGACTGTTGTTCACAATGCAGACGTCTCAGATATCCGACATGCACGCTTCCGAGAAACCAGACCAGGAGAAGCAGTTGTCTCCCGTGCGCACCGCTGAATCTGTCCATCAGGGTCAGATTACATCCGATGAACAGGGGCAAGGGGACTTACACCGAGATTTCAGTCCACGGCATATTCACGTACGTTCTATCGAAATGTATACACATCTCCTTCGTTGCTAGGTTTAACGCATGGCCATAGATAATATCCCTAGGCTCCAGCGTGGGCAGCGGGCTTTTCATCGCGACTGGCAAGGCGTTAGCAACCGGTGGCCCCGGCACTATGTTCCTGGCTTATTTGATTGTATGCACTGGAGTTTGGTCCAATCTCCAAAGCCTGGGTGAAATGACCATCGCTTTCCCTGTTTCTGGTAGCTTTGTCAACTATGCCGGTCGATGGGTTGATCCTGCTCTGGCCTTTGGTGCAGGTTTTGCCGAATGGCTCGGTAAGTCTGGGTCCCAATCTTCAAATCCATTGTCTCCTTCGTTGTATGTCCTTCCCACTGACTGCGAAACAGGTTGGATCGCGGTATTCGCAGCTGAAGCTGAGTTCTTCGTCGTTTTAATTGAGTACTGGACGACTGCAGTACCACACGCAGCTTTGAGTTAGTCATTCTCTCTTTCATTGTACCTTAACTGATTTCAAACTAATTACCGCCTGAACAAACAGTCTCGATTTTTCTATGCATCTGTCTCGTCGTCTTCTTCCTCCCAAACAAATTCTTCGCTTGGCTTCAATCCATTGGATCGCTTGTCAAGATCATTCTTTTCGTCTTCGTTATCTTCCTCTCTCTTGCCCTGATCGCTGGCGCCGGGCCCACTGGATCTGTCAAAGATGGAAGCTACTGGCGTGAAGGAAAGGCGTTCCAGAACGGATTCATGGTAATGATTCGGCATTCCCGTTTAATGGAGCTTCTAGGCGACTGACGTATGTGATCCTAGGGCTTTGCGAGTTGCGCACTTCTAGCTATCTGGGCAGTTGGGGACCAGGTCTTCATTGGCGTCATGGGAGGAGAGGCCAGCTCGCCAAGATACTCGATGGCCCACGCGTCGACTCTGGTCCCAATCCGTGTCAGCTTCATGTATCTGGTTTGCGTGATCTTTATCGGCATCATAGTCCCATCAGACGACCCCCTTCTCCTTGGCGGATCCGGCTCGGCAGCATCGCCTTTCGTTATCGCAACACGAAACTCGGGCCTAGCGGGGATTCCAGACTTCATCAACGTCTGCATGATCATTGGCATATTGGCCATTGCATTGGAGTCGATATACCTTCCCTCTCGGATCATCCGTACCATGGCTTTTCAAGGTCTGCTTCCCCAGGTTCTGGCGAAGTGCGACGACAAAGGCCGTCCTAGATGGGCTCTTTTCATCAGCGCAGTCGTGGGTGTTATCTTGAGCTATCTCAGTTTGAGCACTAAGATCCCTCATTCGTTGATTCACCAGCGAGATAGACTAACGTTAGGTGAAGGTGGTGGAACCACGGCGTTGAATTGGTTCATTTCGATCACCAGCGCCTCATTTTTCAGCAACTGGGCTATCATTGCCTTCACGAACTTGAGGTTTCATGCTGCTTTGCGAGCACAGAACGACAAGTTATTTAGCCAAAACTTCGCCTGGAAGTCTATTGCCTGGCCGTTTGCACCCATCTGGGGTCTTATTATATCCTCAATGCTTATGGTCTGTCTGGTTTATGCGGCTATTAACCCTTCGGTGAGTAATTCAGGCCGAAGTCGCTAGGGCGTCTAAGCTCTGTACCTATTTGTACCTGACATTTCTTTTGCAGAACGATTTCTCGGCCGAGAACTTTTTCGAGTACATGATCGGCCTTCTGATGATCGTGGGTGCTACAATTGGCTACAAGCTCATTAGGCGCTCGCGTTGGGTCGATCCAGCGGAAGCTGACTTGGTAACCGGAAGGCATATGCTGAGAGACGAAGAGATTCAATTTCTCAACGAATACTACAGTAGACCTTTGTGGAGGAGGTTGATGACTTACCTGTCATTGGTTTGAGAGAAGAACATGTTGTACAATATGTGGAAGGACCATTTATGACTTCAGAGTCTATTATTTCATTCTTCTGGCTTTGTTGCCAGGTTTCCTTCCAAATGAATAAGACGCACTATGACAGACGTACTCGTGAATCAGTCAATCCATTGTGCAAAACGAAGTATGCCGACCCCGGTGTGATCGGCGACGTTGGCGCATAGACTCCCCGGACGCCGAGTCGCGCTACGGCATCTCCATCCGGGCGGCGCTGTCATCTGTTCGGCTGTGGGGGCCACGAACCCCGGGAGCCAAGCAACGTCCGCTTACATATGAACTCATGCCTGGCTATCAACACCCGGCAATACATGCGGGGAAGGGAGAAGGATGTCACAGGAAATTAGGTCTGATAAGACACCCTAGTGGTCATCGCTGAAGCCTGCTAGTTTTGAGAATACTTCTGTATGCACTACCGGCTGTAACCCCGCGGCATCGGATGCGTATCCCGATGTGAACGTTGATAACGTAGCTTGATTGCCCAGAGCTGCCTCATATGGCCTACCACAGTGGCTAATCATAGTTCTTTGCATCTAGGCACCATGTCTGAGGATAAACAGACTGTCGTTATCGCCGGTGCCGGTGATCTCGCGCAGTATCTCGCCGAGGAGTTCAAAGTCGACAACACGCACAATGTGCTTCTCATATCCCGAAAGGAACGCGAATTCTTCACCAAATTAGGTGTTACTACTCATGAAATAGATGAGTACTCTGCCGACAGCGTTTTGGCTGTTCTTGAAAAAGTGAACGCCACCGTGCTCATTTCGACCCTACACACCGACGATCCGGCGCTCTACACGTCATTGCACAAGGCACTGCTATTGGCCTGCAAGGCTTCCAAGACATGCAAGCGGTTTATACCCAGCGAGTTCTTGGGAAATTTGCGCAAGTTTGACAACATCCCACGCGGAATCGCTCGCGCGCGGAGAGCTTTCCGCTCGGAGTTACTGAACGAGTCCGAGATCAAGTGGACTCTTGTCAACCTTGGATGGCTAGCGGATTACTTCGTTCAGCAGCCTGATGGATCAAGAAGCTACATTAGCCCCTTTCCTCAAGGATGGCCGATCAACATGGAGGAAGGAACCGTTCGAGTGATCGGTACTGGGGATGAACCGGTGTGCTGGACAGCGGCACGAGATGTAGCGAAGGCAGTTGTGAAGCTCGTATCTCACGACGAGTGGCCTGACCATGTCTATGTATTCGGAGAGATCGGATCATGGAACCAAGCAATAGAGAAGGTCGAGCGCTACTATGGAGTTACATTAACTGTTGGTCGGTCCTGTTTCCCGTACGAATATAGACTGACTTTGTACACAGCGAACACACGTCACTAAAGACGACATATCTCGAGACTTGGCTAATGAGGGAGAAGTCGAAAAGTGGTACAGGGCTACCATTGACGAGTGGTCACTAGCTGGTGCAACTGCTGTGCCTCTGGAGGAAGCCCTTCATCAGCGCGAGAGGTACTTTGGGGAGGTTAAGTTCAGAGATATCAACGAACTATTACGTAGCTCGGAACACATGCAAATCATTTGAGCAATAGCAATAACATGAGACAGGTTATGCCCTCACCTCCTCAAGCTGATCCAACTGAATGTCACCTTGCTTCGAATCTACGCGAGCTTCCAAGGCATGCTGGCCCGGTTGGACTGTTCTTCCACCAGTCGAGTAAACTCCGCCCGTGATACCACCTTTCGTGAACAGGAGCGGGATATCTTCCAGCTCGAGTCCTTTGGTCTCTGGGTAGAAGAAGTAGACCATGGGTATGAACAGAATGTTTAGAACGGCGAAGATGATGAACGTTCTCCACTCAATGTTTGCTTGTAAATTCTCGTCAGTCCGCTTCAAATACTGGAGAATAGTCAAACCCACCGAAGGAAATAGGGGTAATCTTCACTACAGCAAAGACGGCCATCCAGTTCCAGCCAGAAGCAATTGCCTGCATTTTGGAGCGTACTCGGGTGGTCGAAAGTTCAGACGGGTAAAACCATGGGACCTAAAATCGTTCAGTCTTTATGCATGCGCTTCCAACAGGTTTCCGTACTTACAGGAAGCCATCCAACGCCGTAGAAGAGCTGGAATAGGAAGATGAAGGCAACTGCTCCAGATGCTGCTCCACTGGAGCCCCTGGTCAACAGTATTGTAACCATGACAAAACAGAAACTCAATCCAGCTGAGCACCACATTAGCAGTACACGACGACCAAACCGGTCCATGAGGAAGACTGGAATTGCGGATCCGACGAGGTATGTAATCTGTGCGCAACCACCTAGGATGAGGGCGAGCTCGCGATCCATGCCCATCGTATCGGTGAAGATCACTAGAACTAATTAGCATGGTTCGAGCAGAATATTGTTGACGGACCTGGCAGGTAGTAGTTGATCATGTTGGAGCCACTGAATTGTTGGCCAAGTTGCACGGAGATGGTAAGGATCAGCCGGCGAAGGTTTTGTTGAGAACCCCATGAGAAAAGCTCTTTGAAACGGAGCGGACCGTCGCGTTTCTCCTCCTCGAGCCCGGACTGGATGTCCAGCAACACTCTTCCAACGGCTTCATCGTCCAGAGGTTTATCTAGAATAGCAGCGATTACGTCTCTGCCTTCCTCGTATCGGTCGCGTGCAACAAGCCATCGAGGTGTCTCAGGAAGTCCGACGATCTGGAGAACAATGAAGACGGCGAAGAACGCTTGGAAGGCTAGCGGAAATCGCCATTGGAAAGATGATTCGTAGAAACTGGTACCATCTGGGGAATGAAGTCAGCATCTGATTCACGGTCAAGGCAGGGTCGCTCACAATCGGTCCAGTATGCAATGACAACCCCCAGGATTGTCACCGTCCCTTGAAGTGTCAGGAGAGCGCCACGAATGCTGGCTGGAGCGCACTCGCTAAGATATACGGGTGCTGTTGATGAGTTCATGCCGTTTCCAATACCGGTGATGATGCGACCAGCAAGTAGAGTGGCGAGGTTCTCCGACGCTCCCAAGAGAATCGAACCAATGATCATTATTGTGGCTCCGGACATGAGCATACTCCGCCGACCAAGTCTTTCGCCGATGAAGTAGGAGATAATTGAGCCTACGACACATCCAATGTTGTACAGAGAGGTGATATTGCCTTGCATATCGGGATCCGGATTGTTGAAGTCCCGGGCGAATCGATTTTCGGCACCGATGATACCAGACATGACACCTAGATGAGGGCGAGACTTAGCATCAATCTGATGCGTTAGGAGGATCGCGCATGATGAACTAACCCTGGTCGTATCCCAGCAGCAGGAAGGCCTGGCAGGAGGCCGCCGTGACTGCGAAGACAAGCTTCCTGCCTCGAAAATGATGCTTCCACAGCAAGCCCATAGCGAACAATAATGATGGTTATTATCAACAGTTATCTTCTGGTCAATAAAGCAAGATAATATTGGCCGAGCTTGACCATTGCGACATCAACCCGTTATCACAGAGACTGCCGTCGGCACTTATTAAAGAGCATGCTTCGCGCATAAATATACCGAAATTCCTATGCTTGTAAATCGAGCTGTCAAGAAGATCTACCCTTCCCCAGAAATCCGGGGCAAAGTTTCGGGCAGGGAAGGGGTAGTTGTCGCGTGGAGATGTACCGATCCGTCAACGTCATTGGTCTGTCACACCCTCCCCTCCTCACTACCGGCATGAGATCTCGAATGGAGTAGAATCCGTCATCTTGGCTCCCAACCCACGAACATGGTTTTAATGATGATTTGATAATCTCAAGCAGCCAGATTGGTCATTAATACAACGCATCTTCTAGGCGTTCCTCGGTGGCGGGTTGCTCGGTGCTCGGGACAATTGGAACCTTTTAGAGGTTCAAGTCTTGGCTTCTCCACGTAGCCGCCGGCTTCTTCTGAAACAACATCCAGTGTCAACCGTCCGAGCCGGTCAAGTCCCTCCTCCCTCTGGTGTAATGCCAAGTTAACGATGTCCTTCAAGAGATTCGATGATGGCGTAGATTCTTACTCTTGCCAGCGGTCCTATGACGTGTAAACACAACGTGCCGGCATGGCTATTATTCACACTGCGCAGAAAGATGGTGACTCTCTCAACACAATTGGCCCTCACCGCCGGTCTCATTTTTCAACGCAGTTTTCAAAAACGAAGTATCGTTTGGTTAAACAGAAGCCCAATCCAAGGTGTTGGACCCCTTTGGTTGCAATTAGTGTGCGGGGTTGACGCGTCGGGAAGGGTTCGGCGGCCGCATCCGATTATCTTGCATGATATGTGCCTACCCCATCCAACCGTTCGTTCCACATTGCTATGACGGTAAAGATTACATTTGACTTCCTATCCTCAATTTACTAGAAGTAGATTGCACCACTTATTGAAAAGGCTTCGCATCTCGAACTTCACTTGTCTTAACATTACCAACATATTGTCAGGCGTTTTTGGTGCATGAGACTATTGAAATGGCTGCAACGACAAACATTGTGGTCCTCGGGTACGATTATTTCTTTGTTCTCATCTCTCAAGATCAGAGGAGCTAACTTTGACAGCGCTGGAGTGTCAGGTCTCACAACCGCCCTGCTTTTGTCTAAGAATCAGGCCAACTCTGTCACGATCGTAGCGAAGCACATGCCAGGAGACTATGACATCGAATATGCGTCACCTTGGGCGGGGGCAACCTTCCAACCGTAAGTAAAATCCACTCAACATTGGCGTGAAAAGAAATGACGAAAGGTTTCAGCATGTCTGAAGAAGAAGACAGCAGGTGGGAGCGCCGTACTTGGCCAGAGCTGTCACGTCTGGCATCTTCTGTCCCTGAAGCTGGTATCCATTTTCAAAGTAAGTCATTGTCTTTTATAACTCTAAGATACGTAGTATTGGGATAGTCATACCATTCATATCTTGATGCTCATGTCAACTAGGAACTCACATCTACCGCCGGAACAAAGACTTTGAAGGCGAAGATGTGCCGTTTGGGCCGCTTTTCTCTCCAAACTCATGGCTTCGCGATCTGTTCTCAGACTACCGCGACCTGAAACAGGAGGAACTTCCCCAGGGAGTGGACTCTGGTTTTGAGTACACAGGTGTTTGCATCAACACATCTCTTTATCTGCCCTGGCTAGTTGGTCAATGCAGAGCACAGGGGGTTGTTCTCAAGCGCGGTGCAGTCTCTCATATCGATGACCTGAAGATGATGCACCACAGCGGAAACCACGCCGACGTCCTCGTCAATGCTTCCGGTCTTCTGGCTCGTGATTTAGGGGGCGTTCTCGACAAATCCGTTGTCCCAATCAGAGGCCAGACCGTCCTGGTACGGAACGAAGCGGGACCTCTCTATAACATATCGGGAACGGATGATGGAGACACCGAAATATCGTATTTGATGATGCGCGCATCTGGAGGAGGTACTGTGCTAAGTGGCACTTACGACAAGGGAAACTGGAACCCGGAACCTGATATGGACATCGCCAAGCGAATCATCAAGCGTTGTGTGGCGTTGTCTCCACGGCTTGCCAATGGAAAGGGTGTCGAAGGTGTCGAAATCATAAGACACGGGGTTGGCTTGCGGCCCTGGAGAAAGAACGGTGTCCGATTGGAAAGAGATCCCAACTTGTCGACACAGGGAACTCTTGTGGTCCACAACTATGGACACGCGGGCTGGGGATACCAAGGCTCTTATGGTTGCGCTGAGTACGTGGTTGAGCTTGTCGAAGGTTTCCAGAAGGATAGAAACGTCGTCGATAAGGCAAAACTTTGAAGGTTCTTGCATTTATTAAGCTCTGCCATAGTCGAGCGAAGCATCAAACCTTAGGCTGCTTATCAGAGACCGCCTATTTTTCTGTGCCATGTTGACTACTTTTCCTGTCGTTATTCTACTTTATCGTCGTACTTCAATCGTCGTCGTCGCTTCTATGGTTATTATCGCTTCTGTTATCGCCGTCATTTATACCGTCGTCGTCGTCCTCCTCCTCGCTAATACTATCGTCTCAGACAGGTGTGATTAAATGCACAGGAAATATAGCCGCGCAGACACAGGCAAGATAGGCGGGCTCGGTTATTGGGCAGCATTATTCCACCTAAGGCGTGATCACGCGGAAAGACAAATGTTTAGAACAGTTCCACATACAATTGTATGAAGGATTCCAGTTTACAGCAGTCACAAGTAAGACCATAATGGTTTGGGTTGTATTTGGTGAAGTCAAGTCTACTCCGAATTTTGCAAGACGCCTCAAAGCCTTGGGAAGATAAAACTTCAATCTACGATTTCCCCTGCCCGCTTCTAACCCAATCGCTGACTCCCTTGGTTGCCCTCGTCTTTGATAGAGACATCTAGAAGTTGCAGCAATGGAACTTCCCATCCGACTGCGTGTGGCAGTCTTTGCTGAAGCATAGGCCCTTGCAGTTGGAGTATGTGTCAAAGCCTTGAGGCTGGCATGCCTTAGCAGCCTGAGGCGCGGCGCTGACGGCGGTTGCTGCAACGAGGCAGAAGATGACTTCGAAGAATCTCATGTTGGAGCTACACATCATGTTAGAGGATATGACACCAACAGAAGCATCAGTTGCTGGAGATACTGACTTGGTGGTGTGTATGCGCGCGTAATGAGGCTTCTTGATATCTGATAAGAGTCGAAAGACTGATAGCTGGTTCGGAGGCTTGGGAGTTCCTGTAGTCGATGATCTGCATACAATCGGGGAGAGATATTCTGCCTATTCATATTTGGACTTCTTCCATATTAGCTGCAAACTTCGTGGTATATAGTTTTACAATGCGAGTCATTTCTCAAGTTCTCCTGTATCTGACAAGCTTTCTTACATTCCATGGGTATAGGCTATTTTGAACCCGAAGCCATCGTGAAAGCTGAGTTCTAGCCCATGGTGTAGTTACAGGTGGGAGCCCAGCCAATAACTCAAACCTCCCGTCGGCTGTCATATACTTGACTTTGTGCTACGGCGGTGTGAAGAATGGGCCTCCCATGTCTGATAAGTCGCCGCCGCTAAGTTATCCTGCGTCTCGCACAGCGGGGCCTCCGGGCGAGAAGCTTCCCCTTAGGAAGTTAGGCGCCGGTTGTGGACAAGCGCGCCGAGCTGACAAGACCTAACGTGTAGCCGGAGATAAGGACAGGCGCGTGGCTTCGGGTGTTATAAACTATCACTGCGAGAATCTGTAAAGTTTCTATGTGCAACTAGTACTCTAGTACGCGTAATCAAACAACTTCTAGAACAGCAGAGATGATTTCCTTTTTAGGTTTCCAGTTCCTATGACTGCCTAGTCATGTGTGCTTGGATATCCATGAGCTTAAAGTTTGAGCAAGTAAGACGGCATGAGAACAATTTCAGAACAATTTCCGAGGGGAAACGTGCAGCAGGGGATTACGAAATATCCGGCCCTCGCCAGTTCCGAGTCATTTCCCCTGGGGCGCAAGGGAATGCGAAGAGCTCGTTAGGAGGCCGGTATGGCCGCGTAATTTTTTTAAGCTCGGTCAGAAGTTCTCTCTGCCATCTGAATGCGGAGAACCCTTGAATCTCGAACGATTCCAGCAGACTGGTCAGAAAGCTTATTTTGACTTTCTACTCCTTTATCCAAGCTCTAATAGACTATTTTTGAACTCGGCGGTGAATATATTCCAGAACAAAGCGTCACGACCAAATATCTCCTCACGTACATATGTTGACAAGAACATGAAAGCCCCCGTGGGAACTGGTGATGATGATTTACCGTGTGTACAGCTACACCCGTAGGCTGTATCTCCCAGCAGTCTATCAAATCTGCCGTGCATTCTCGGGCTACTCCATCCATTAGCGTGCTTCGGCTCCCATCCGCCGTAGTTCGAAGCTTATTTGATCGAGCTACTGTCCGGTCCGAGCAGGTCGTGATGGCCGGCATGGGTGTCACGGTGTCCCCAGTGCATCGGGCTGGATGGAACCGCTACCCTAATACACTCTTCAACCTGGGGGACCATGACATCTTGTCTGCAGAGACCCAGCTTCTGTCTGAGGGGGTGGCTTAGATCTGAAGGGGCAAACGCATTGCCAACTTCGTCTCGAATTGAGTCCTCTCCTAGAACACCCGATAATTGACGAGGACACAGGACTTTGCGTTTCACCGTCCACAATCTGCTTACCGCTCTGCTGCCCGTTCTACACAACCATTACACAGCCCAGAGTGCCAAAAGTAAGACGGAATAACTTTTCATGCTCGTCAACATCGTTGCCCATTCCTTCGTCGCGAACGGCCAAATGGGAATTGCAGTTGAGAGCCGGCTGTGGAACGGCCTGTAATAGCTTCTATGCAAAGTAACCCTTCTCCATGATAATCGGCTGTGATGATAGGGCTATATTCGCTTGCTCACACTTTATGAAACCGAAAGGATTTACCGAACGCTTCCAGACTGGTGTCTTGGCCCTGGTTCCTAAAAGCCTATCCATCACTCAACTGTCCGATACCAACTTGGCGCAGATCCCGAAGTGACAACTCGCCTACCTGATGATCAAGACTAGGTGTGACAACTCGTGCAAGCAAGCGACATATTTGAATTTTTAGAAGGATTTGGCCGACATACGGCCTTGTCAATCACGCCGTCACGTCTTGTAATGACGACAGCATTGGGGCGTTCGTATGTCAGCCGTTCTTTCAGATCGTTAGACGAATTCTGAGGGACTGTTGCTCTCAATTTGTAGTTCTGTTCACGCATTTACAGTTGCTTGAGATTGTCTTCCCGTTTTTTGCTCGGAGAATCTATAAAGGCCATGGCCAAAGACAGATCTGGAGAGTCTCTGATGCATCAGCCTTCCGCTCCTTTCTGATGGGACAGACGTTTGGTGCGGGAAGATAGAATGGACTGTCTATTGGCCCGAATCTGACAACCATGGTCGGCATCTGTAGGATCAATATTACGTACTACACCATTGGCATCACCATCCGGCTCTTGGCTCATGGATTCCAGTGTAGTTCAGGTATGACTTGTGTAATAATACGACGAGAGTTACCTGCTTTAGTTTGTATGTATGGAGACATTGAAGTATTTTAGGCAGGATCCAGATTGGAAGATGATGTTTGGCAGTAGAGGTATCACAGATTTAAACAGCTTGAATAAAATACATATATAACGAATAACCTTGTGCTTCCAGTCTTGAATCAGCTCAAATGTTGGACTTCACACTCAATCAAGAACTAAACATCAGCCCAACTACAACAGTCAAGGCAAGCTATCATTCTTCCTCAGCTTCCAGAAGCTCACTGTTTCTGTCAACCCATCCTCTGGCCTATTTACTAAACCACTCCCGCAGACATCCATCTCCCAACCATGCGCTTCACCACCTCCATCCTTGTCTCCCTTCTCGCCATCACCGCACAAGCGGCCGTTGCTAATGACGATTCCATTGCCATGGCCCCGCGCGAGGAACTCGTCGACCGGCAAAACCAGGTCTTCTCGCTCGACAAACGAGACTGTGTGAAGACCGGGTGCAAGTGCGACACCCGCGGCTACCAGCGAAGAGTCTGCGGGGCCTGCAAGCACCCTGACACTAAGAAGTACATCGTCACGAGGAAGAGGATCAGAAACCACATATACGAGTGTTCGGCTGATGGCGAGTCTTGCTGTGACTATGGGGTTGCTGATGATTGTGGCAAAAAGGGGCAGAGATGCCTCTTTGTCTAGAGGGGTCTTCAACGCTTCCGGGGCAGGGGGGCTGAAGACAACGGGCAGTAGTGGACTGTTTCGAAAGATTGTTTTGCTTTTTTATTCACTTTCTCTGAAGCTACTAGTCACTCTCTAAGCGGGATTGGAATGCGTTATGCACAGGAGTCTTGCTATCCGGGCGGATACTTCTAGCTGACCGGGCGGATAACTACCTTACCTATATCAGGTCTTATAGTTAATTTTATCTCGATTAACTTCTATTATCTTCGTCGCTACTCTATCCCTCCCTCTGTCCGTATGATCATCATCGTCGTCGTCGTCGTCGTCGTCGCCGCCGTTAGTGTCGTTATATTCACATCTACACCCGCCCGGTTAGCCAGAAGTATCCGCCCGGATACCAAAACTCATGCACAGCTCAGCTATCAGTAGAGCCCATCCAAGGCAAGGATCAACGTTAGCAAAAATTGTCGATGGCATTTTATGTCTGCTTCTGCTGCCATTAGAATCCCCGGGGACATTTTGTCTTAGTCAAATCATACTAACATTAGTCTAGCAACACGTACATTCTCAAAATATCCTGAAAGAACATCGAAGACTCATCAAGCCGGACAGCATGGATGAGACAGCCAAAGACAGGTGACCTAGAACCCATGCTTGGTTTTAATACACAGCACTTGGTTCCAAACTCATAGAGTCCCTCTTGTTCTTTTGGCGTAATAATGATTCTAGAAGGTTTTGACGCTTTGATGGTATGGCAATACCGAGCCATCTTGGGGAAGACGTTCCTCGATTTGGGGTAATGTCTGTCGGCAAGGGCCATGGCTCACTCGGGATCATGGTTACGGCCTAAGAACGTCCACGTCTGAATTCATGACAGTGAACGCTCTGATAAACAAAGATCTTTTCTCTTTTATTTTGATCTCACCCTCGCAGCTTCTATGAGATTCTCTTCCCTCGAACCTCGGACCTATTCACTTGCTACCACTCATCCTCGACGATATTAGGCTTGTCATCTCTGCCCATTGACACAGATGGCGGCGAGCAACCGTCAATCCCCCGAAGATGTGGGCATGGCCGACGCCCCAGAGAAGCTACCCGCCACGCCTAAAGAGCGCGAAAAGCTGATGGAGGAGAAGTTCGCCAGCGTGCTGCGCCAAGAGAAGCGTACGCTCCGGAGCTTCTACGATGCCCAGGAAAAGGGTGCCGCAAAGTGGCTCGTCAACAGAGGTGTTCAGGTTGTCTCGGCCTCGTGGTTCGAGTGGGAGGTTCACGTGAAGGTCTGGGCCAAACTTTCTGCTACAGGTTTGTCGCCAACGCCTCCCAGTTCCATTGCTACGTACATCCTAACCGACGAACAGGGCCGAAACAACCTCAGCAGACCGACGTCGGAGAGTTTCCATGGATATACGAAGAGCCCAGCATGGCTCCCGCGAGCCCTACCGACGCCTCCCAGTTGTTCGCCGAACTCAGACTCGCAATCATCCGAGAGAACAGTCTTCCAGCACTCACCCGCATCGAGAAGCATCTCCCCTTGATGAACGAGGAGCCGGAGATGGCGCGCAACTTCAGGGGCGGAATGGACCTTGCGCTCCGCCAGAACATCTGGGACGATGTCTTCCTCGGCGAGCCTTGTGTGCCTGGCCATCCATTCGAGGTGGTCATCCCCTTCGCTGAGAAGCTCCGCACGCATGGCGTCCTCGATGCCGACGAGCTGCGAAAGCACCTCCCCGCCGCCGTTCATGGTCGAATCATCCGTCGCCTCAACCCCAGCGGACACTACGTCTCTGTCATCGTCTTCGGCCTCGCGCCCAACGCCTTCGATAACCCGATGAATCGCATGAACCTGGCCCTGAGCTATAACATGGCGCTAAACTGGGCCAGGAAGATCGTCGTCACTGGCACCAGCTGCCCTGTTTCCGACGCTTTCAAGAACTTCATGATCAGGCCCGTACAGAAGGAAGGTGAAGGTTCTTCGCAGGTGGTTGGTCTAGCGGAGCAAAGGGTTTTCAGTGATGAAGAGCTGAAGCGATGCGAACACGCCCTCGCGCTCATGCCGTGGACCTCTGAGGCGGACCATGCCGCCTACCGCGTGGGCCAATGGCTGCAGCAGCAAATCGCGATCACGCCCGTCCAGGATCGCTACAACCTTTTGCGAAAGTGGTGCCAGCAGAAGCACACCAACCTCGAGAACCTCACGCCGGTTGAGCTGAGAGATGCCTGCCGCCGTGCTTGGGAGAAGAGGATTTCGGAGTGGATGACGGAGCGGGAGATCACCAGCTGGTCCTGGAACATGGAGACCTTCTACGCGAGACAAATTGCGGCCGTCGACTCTTAGGAAATCATTCGAAGCTAGAAGAGGAAAATCAGCATCGTTGCACAAAGTCCTGTGGGAGATTCTGGATGGTTCAGATGCGACAAAAGACAACAAGAGGGCTTTGTATTGATCATGTTCATACGCTTTGTATTTACTCCCATAGCACCCGTCTAATTACCTCCCAATCATGCTTTTTTTCCTTTTACATAATCCCGTCCGATCCAAGCGCCCCTCCAAAGCCCCCGTTTCAGATGACGTTCTTCAGCGGCTGGCCGGCCAGGAACCGTCTCAAGTTGTACGCCGTCAGGGCCTCCGCACCCTGGGGCCGGCCGCCAGCAGCGTGCGGGGAAACAATAACGTTTGGCGCCTTCCACAGCCGACTCGACTCGGGCAACGGCTCCGTGACAAACACATCCAGCGCGGCGCCGCCGACCTGGCCGGCCTCGAGCGCATCCACCAGCGCGTCCTCGTCGACGGAGGTGCCGCGGCCGACGTTGACGACCCAGGCGTGCTTGGGCAGCAGCTTGAGGCGCTCGGCGTTGAGGGCGTTCTTGGTGGCGTCGGAGCCGGGCAGGATCATGACGAGGGCGTCGGTCTCGGGGAGCAGCTCGGCGAGCTTGTCCTCGCCGTAGACCTCGACGCCGTCGCGCACGCCCTGGCCGCGGGCGATGCCCTTGACCTGGGCGCCGAGGCCGCGGAGGTGCGGGGTGAGCGACTTTGCGATGTTGCCGAAGCCCCAGATGAGGACGCGGGCGTCGCGCAGGGTGGTGAAGGCGCCGGCGGGGCGGTCGGGCTGGGGCCCGCCGAGGTGGCCGGGCCACTTGTTCTGCAGCTGGTAGTCGCGCATCTCGTAGAAGCGGCGGGCGGCGTTGAGGAGGAGGCCGAGGGCGTGCTCGGCGACGGTGTGGTCGTGGAGGCCGGAGCCGGTGGTGACGGTGATCTTGGTGGCGTCGAAGCCGGCGTTGAGGACGTCGTTGGGGCCGGCGGCGAGGGATTGGATCCACTTGAGGTTCTTGAGGCGGCCAGCGGCGTCCTTGAGGTTGTCGGCGGAGTTGGTCCAGGTCACGAGGATCTCGGCGTCGGTGTGCTCCTCGGGGATGGCCGTCTTGACGTCGTACGGGACGAGCTTCACGGAGAAGCCCTCCAGGGACTCGATGTCGAGCTTGAGGGAAGTTGGGTAGAGAAGCTTCATGGCGGCGGTGGTATCTGGGGCTGGATCTAGAGTTGACGTGAGTATTTGGCCCGGCTCGACCTGAGTTGTTGGAAGATGGAGGGTTCGTACCTTGGGATGCGGGATTAGGGATCTGGTCAAAGCAAAAGGATCGTGAAACTGGAAAAGAAAGCGCGCGTGGTGAAGAGACCTGGGTTGTATGGGGTTTTACCTACTCGGCTACAGATTGGCCGACCGACAGCGATGACGGAGGAACGGGATAGCCGCGATTTCGTCTAAAATAGCGTGCTGCTTCACCAGTGTTCCCTGCCATGGTGGGGGAATACACCACACTACCACCCTTTGGAGGCACAAAGTGGGGGGTAGTGCCCCTCCCCCTCACGACAAAAATGGCGGGGTTCTCTGGAAATGAGGGACGAACACCGACACTGCGATGCCCCGACTCGCCGCGAATTGCCGTCAAATACGTGGTGGCCCACGCTCTAGCGCACCCAAATCATCTCTGACTCGTCCAAACGAGCAAGGAAGGTTGACAAGACATCGGAAGAAATTGCTCTATTGGTCAATCGATGAATAGCCGGCACAAACACCGAGATGGTGTGCCACTTTCTGCCACTTTCCCGGATTTAAATCCGTGTCGGCAATGGAACCAACCTGTCTACACAGGTCCCCCAACCCCCATCCCATCGTTCCATGATGCATCAGACTCCTCCTCGTGACCGATCGGTGTGTGGTGATTCACCTTGGCCATCGGCTATCTACCAACTAGCCGTGCTAAGCTTCCGGGTATCGCATGCTCGCAAACGCATCGGCTCCGGCCAGCTGGATGAACCCGTCCAAGATACGGAGGTGCGGTTGGAGGAGTCCTGTGTGAGGGTTCTCGCTGCCTTTAATAGCCGCTGTTAGCTTTACGAATGAGATTCATGCCTCTTGTGTCAACCACCAATAGTCTCAAGGTTCTTTCGTAACCTTTGACGATCGAGATCGGTAACCGGTTGCCTCCCGTCGAAAGACTTTCGGATCGGGAAGAGGTTCGGCTCGGTTCTGCTTGGATTCGGTTCTGCTTGGATGATTTCAAACCAATCTTATGATGCCGTGAGAGATCAATGACTAGTAGAAACTGCATTCAAGGCCGGGTTGTTAAACGTCCATCTCGATGGCTGCAGTGTAATGACTCTTGATCGAAGGATATTCCCTCGTATGGTTTGAGATATGGTGCAGGATTTCTAGTCTACAATTCCACAGCAGATGTGTTGAGGATAGCCTTTCCGCGCCAAGGACGGGAATAGTTCGATATCCTTTCTGTGAAGGTCATCGTCTGTGATGCCACTTGGACGTGCTGTGTGGATTGTTCTGGAAGCAAAGGTTGACTTGACCTGGAAAACGTCTTGGAGGCCCTTTTCAGGATACTTCAGCTTTCACATCCTTGAAAGCATGTATGATATCTTTGTCCTTCTCTCTAATGTATAGAGGAAGGTTTCCAGGGGCGAGGAAAGGCTTACCAGTGGACAAATGCCGAGGTATCTGCCTCGTCCCGAAGTTTGCGACAACATCGTGTCAGAACAATGAATGTTTCTCGACTTCTTTTTGTGTGAGGCACTGAGGAGTCAGACTCGAGTGATGAAAGCAAGACCCAATGAGTAAGGAAAAGAGACAGCCGATGAGGGGTTAGGAGTGGAATGGATGTTTATACCCGCTGAGCCCCTGAGACAGCAACACGAGATGCACGCAAGTCTTCTTGGCTACCTCAAACAAATCACATGTTATGAACAGCATTCAACGTCTACTCAACGCGAATTTTGCCATTGATTTTCAGGTCTTTGCAGGCGTTAGCCCACAACACAGGGTTCATCCAATGCAATACAGGACTATCCCATCAACCATGGCGGACTACGGCACTTCTCATCAGCGGATATCTTCAGTTTTCCCCTACTTCGCCTATACACAATAACCGTTACTTACTAGAAAATTCCGTCGATCTTTTCTGATTGGGAAAAGGTCCCTAGCCGACTAGCACTTCATGGGATACCACGTCCTAAAGGAGTAAATGGGCAAGGAAGGATCCGTTCTAGACTTCCTGTGGATTCCTGAATCAGTAAAGATCACCTTCCTGGGCTGTTATTCGTTGATTTCAGTGTGGGGGCTCTGCAGTAGTCTCAAGCCTTCTAAGTTGGTTTCCTTCATCCATAGGTAGTATAACGTACCTACCTACTTGCTGTATTGAGGTGTAAAACCATGAGAAGCAGACTTCGACGAGCTACTGCATATCTCTTGCTTCTCTTGTGACCCAGATTAATCATCATCATCAGGCTTCAAGAGGTCCATGATATGTGACGTGGCTGCTGCCGCAGCTGTTGGAACAAGGGTTGTGTTTGCTTCTCGCATGTTGGAAGCCAACGCAGAACCAACAAGCAACAGCTGAGACAATATTTTGGGCCAATCGCAAACCAAAATAAGATTAGAAGGATCCGCAACTCAATTCCTATCCACGACGTCTAATTTCTAGTATTTTGTCGTTCGTTTTTGCTGATAGCATCACATTCGCGATCTACGATGCATTCCGGTTGGGTGAGGCGTCCTTTCTCGACAACACGCTTTCGTTGAATACCATTGTTTTCACAATGCGTTTCTTTACTCGCCATTCTGAATTCCTCTGAGACTTGACGCCTAACCTTTCATTGTTGGAAATCCCCCGTAAATCGGTATTTCGCGGTCGCGTCGCAACCATGGCCCTCTCGGTTACCCCTTTTCTCTCCGCGTCCACCACAGACGACGACGACACCACCACATTCGTCACCGCGACAGTTGTAAAGACCGCAGTCGTCCGTTTGAGTCGATCTACAATCATCTTCACGCTCGGTACTGATTCCGGTCTTTCCACTGCGCAGACGACTTCTGCAGAAACGACACGTGTGGATGCGACAACTTCTACACCAACGGAAGCCACCACGACAACGACGACGACGCCCGAACCCACCACAACGTACAGTTCCGCCCAATCCACAACTGCTGAGCCAAATTCAACGACGTCAAGTTTGTCTACCACGACCTCAACACCTGCATCTACCGGTGTTCCCCTAGCGACGAGCATCGGAGTGGGCGTCGGCGTCGCTCTCGGCATCCTTTTGCTAGCATCCATAGGCTTCTTCATATGGTACAGACGACGTAAACGCAAGACCAACATGGAGGCATCTACGGTTGCTGAGACTGGACAAGCGGATAGGTTTCGGGTGGAGAAGACAGGTGTCAACGAGCTTGACGGGGCACATACGGAGAGATTCTGGGGACGCGCCGAGCTGCCGGCTGGTCACCGTTTATCGGAGCTGGATGCCGGGCCTGTGAGCTCGGCATCCACGCCGAACGCTTTTGGCCGGAGATCGGAGATGGCGGCAGACGATACCCTGATGGCACAGAGATAGAATGCTGGGACTCGATTTGTGGCGCTGTAATGAGGAAATAATGAGTTGAACAACTCAACTAACACTAATTTTCTGAGAACCTGGAATTGTAAAATATGGTTCAGTTCAACCTACGTGAATTTCCGTAACAAACCATGAAGGTAGAGGGGTTCAAAGGGTGAGAATAGGCACCGGCATCTGAGTTCAAGTCTTTTGGCTCATCCAGACACCCGGAGGTCCCTCGTCAATACTTTTTTCTTTTCTTGCCACCAGTTGAGTCCGGAGGCCTTCTTCCCAGACGCTCCATTGGTATCCGAGTTCGGACCATTGACTGTTCAACTCTTTGCCACATCCTTCAATGCTTATTGACGTCTATGTTTCTCTGCATATGAAAAGTTTCATAAGACGTAGCAAAGGACTCTCTGCGCTTAGACACTTTTACAAGCCTTAACATGTATCTCTCTAGATTTTGCTGCATGTCCCAGTCATTGGAAAACACTTTACGACAAACATTGCTCAGATTTTGGACCATCTGAGAATTTTAAGTGAGGTTATGCAGCTACAAGACTCATAGTTATGACCAGCGCAATACCAGTACGACATATTTGCTCAACACGTTTCGCATTCATACAAAACAATTAAATGAACTGAATGATTAGATGATCATGCGTTGAAGCATTGCAGTATCAGACCAACCAATAGATCATCGACTTCAATTTCAAAAAAAGCGTCTTGTTATTTAATAGTTCTCAGGTTGCGCTACTGGCCCGAAAGGATAGAGACTCTTCGCTCTTTGATCTGACTTTCAGAGTCCGACGATGGCCAATCCGTTTTAGACTATGAGTTGCATAGACAAATGGCTGAATACTGATGAGATTGAAAGCTAGATAGCTAGCAGAGATATCTCTACGACGACTACTCTCATGCGGTTTCAGCCAAAACAGAATGATGATATATTTTAGCCGTATACGGCCACGAATTAAATGGCTACATCTCCTTAAACGACAAACGAGCTTCATCTAAGTCCAATATCGGAAAGTGCAACCCGTCAGTCGACGAGATATTAGCCGGAATTCTCTGGCCAGGCTTATGTTACTGTATCTCTTGTTACTGGTTGGGCTGCAGTCTGCAGAATCTCCTCAACATCATGATAATACGTTCCATATCCGATATTGCTTTTCGAACCAGATTTCTCAGCCAATATCTCCAAGCAACCCTCACTTTACGATGCTGGCACGAATCGCGGACCACACCCACCTGCAAAATCTGGGGCGTTGGCATTTGGTGGGAAGCCTCGGAGCGCTGCTCACAAAATATGCACGTCAGCTTCGACTGTGATCCGATTTGAGCTCTTCTATCGCCAGCCTCGTGTATTGGGCCCCCAAGAACGTGGCACTGGGCTGTTGGGTTACTCTGGGTACGAATCCCGGCATCGAAATCCTGTCGATCACCGAAAAGGCACATCGTAGCCTGCTTCACCACACCTTTACGCCCGCATAATGCTTTAAATTCGTCATGGTGTATTTCTTTTTGAAGATCTGCAGATATATTTGGGGCTTAAATAGTAGTCATACGGGCTTGCTCGGGCATATCTCCTCCGTGCCTTCATTGGTCCACGTCGTTCAGATATCCCCCATGTGTTGGGTGAGTCCATAACAACCAAACAGTTCTTGCACTTCTTTCCACCAAAATCGACATTTACAAAATAACTCATCCAGTCAATTTACTTCTCCCACAACCTTCTTGCATTCTAGACTCGGTGCTGATCTCGGGCTTGTCATGGTCTGGAGGGTTGCCAGGGCCTGGGTCCGACTGCGGAAGCATTTCTGCGCAGTTGCATGAGGCTTTGGTCTCGTGGACTACCCCTCCCGTGAACGGTGAGCAACATAACCACGTGCAGCTAGATTTTCGATCGGGACGCCTACTAGTTGCCTTGTTTATTTCAACGAATCAGAATTCACTTGAACGTTGAAACCCTTTCGGATAGTTCCGTCTAGCTTGCCTTGTTGGACCTCAGCTCCAAGGTGATCTCTTCGTCATATTACTCTCATGTGATCTTGGACGTTTCCAACCCTCTCAGCATCTCCAACAAAGCGCAATTCTACGTTTCAGGCGTCCCGGAAGGCATCCGGTTTGTGAATTAGAATGGCTTCCCGCATTAGTGAAGCCACGTCAGGCATTTCTTCTTGATTGAAATGAGGGGTTTATCAAGGGCTGCGCCTCACCGATGTCGTATCCTATCCCCTTCGAGAAGAGCGCAACCTTGAAAAAACATGATAGACCCATCGATGATCTGATGATGTACAGCTCGGTGAGGAAGCAGCCACTCAACTTCCGCATATGTCTAGGACAACCTTCACAGCGTTAGGATCTGGATGGAATATATGAAGTCGTATCTCCCACTCCATCTTCGAAATTCCATAAGCACAGATCGGCCCCTCGAGGTCATGAATACGCAAAATGCAATAATGAGGCTGTAGACCTTGAGACATTAAGCCAATAGCATCACTCGGCTGCTGCCTAAAATGACAGAAAGCGCGGGAATGGGGTTGTGGAAGATTTGGCCAATTGGACTTCCTGAGGTGTATGCATGTAAGTGCATCCGTCTCCTGCACATCACAGCTTGCGAATCAACCGTTTTACAGCAGGCTCTCAGGGCACAAACCCCGCATGCAGGTTGCCAAGGCACCCTCTAGTGATAAAAGTTCCCGCTTCGGTGGCCCGGGGAAAGGCTCCGGTCAGGAATCTTGAAACCTCTCGATGAGTGTCACAAAAAATAAGAAGTGTTTTACTGTTGAATGTGACCATGTTGTTGCCTCGTAAGCGGCCACCATCGAGATAAGGGGGTTGGGGAGGTAGATCTTCGTGAAACGCTGAGGATTGGACAGCCTTGTATGCGCCGCTATTCTGCATCGCTAGCAAGCGGGGTTTTCTAGGTGTCATGCACTGTAACATTTGGGTGCCGGCATTGGTCGCGGGGCCGGGAGGGGGAATTGCGATTGTAGTTCTTGGTGGGACCGAAGCGCAAGTGAGACCAGGCTGCAATGTTCAGATACAATGATAGTCCAGTCAGAAGGCGGACAGATGGTGTGCTTCGCTCAAGGAGTAGGCCATGCATGCCGTTGAGGTCGATCTTGGCTTGGGATTAGAAGATGGTCGGGAGCCAGATGCGAGGGCCTTTACGTATGGCCTGAGACCCAGATGAGGTGAGATGTAAAGGAAGGCCTTTGGTGTAAGCTGCTTCGTGCTCGGGCGTAGCTGACAGCCCATCACAGTGAGCACTACTCAAGCTGCTGAATCAACCGTCTGGAAATGGGTAAGCAGGAAGAGAACCGTCGCCGAGGAATTTGCCATTGCGCCGACTGCGACAATGGCGAATTGAAGAGAAAGGCTCCACGGATGGGGAGTGGACACAAGCTCAAGATTCCTCGAACGACAGCGGTGATGCACGACAATTTCCCTCAAGACGCTATCAATGCGTGCCATACTAGATCTGCCTGCATAAAGCGGTTCGAATTCAAATAGCCCCCTGGTTATGTTCCAGCGCATGCCATCACTGCAAGAAATAAATATTGACCCTATTACTTACAGGGCTCCGGTTTCACTCATCTCTTCAAGCTCCCAACTAATGGCGGTTAGATGAGAGGCAACCACGCGGGGCCGTTGCCTACTTAAGTTCTGAGAGGGGCCGGGTCGCTTGATGGGCTGCCTACATCGTAGTTCAAACGAGTAGCCAACATGGCCCCCAATGCCACTCGTTACCCTATATATTCAACTGTCTAAAACAGCCCATTCCTCCGTGGCTTAGGTGAAAGATGCCTTGATATTTCTTCGTCATCAATCCTGTAAAAGGACCGGGCGTTTCCATCTCATCCGGGACTCGGCGAGTCGCAAACGCTCAAACACTCTGACGGGAATTACACATCAAATTGGACTCGAACTCCACATGGAAAAAGGCAAGAGAAGGCAACCGTTTCGCCTGAACTTACCCCCAAGGATCTCGGTAAGAGACCAGGGTCAAACTATAGAACATGGTTGTCCTAATTTATTTCACATGGGCGTCATGCTTTCCGCCTCGTGGACTAGGAGACTAGTGGAATGTTTTCCAGGCAGGCGGAACCCCGGATGGTTTCTTCAGCACACTGCATTGCGGGCCTCAGCGGCCTTCGGTGTCCCAGGCTCCGCTCCACATCCGCTCACCGAATAGGAATCAGGGATGCAATGGAAATTTGATATCTGGCTTTCTACGTCGGTTGGTAAAGACCGAAATTAAAGCCGTTGAAGGGCAAACGCATGCGGCAATTCTTTTTCTTCATATTGGTTGGTGTGGCAGTCGAAAGGTTTCCGGCCCTTCTGCCTAGCGCTCTTGAACGTTCCCAGTGAGTGGGGACCATTCCGGAAGACGACGATGGCATTGCCCGCTAGCGAGGACCCCTCCGTTTCCAGAAGATTATGGACCATCGCATGACATAGCCTGGTTGCCTTGTAGGCTGCAATGAGGGATTTGTAAGTTTTCCTCACGTGTAAATCGCTGACGACTCCGAAGACGTCGCTCGTGGCTGAGGCATGCGGTATTGTGAACAGACGCTCACCGCACTGCGCTGCCTGTTGCCAAAGCTTTTGGAACCTATTTATGAATGCATGGCTCAAAACCGGGGCATTGGGTCGATAATGTAGACGACAACCTATCAAGAAAGATTGTTTTAACAACCAATATCTTTCAATTGACGTGAGGGTATTTTAGGACGTAGCTTTAATTGAATAAAAACATTAGGAAGCACATTAATACTTACCAATAACAGATGTTCCGTAGAAGACTTCTGGTGTTTTTTTTCTAGCATCATACTTTTCGAAATTCTTCTCTCCTCTCCTCTCTTTCTCTCTATCTCTAAAGTCTTAGATGCAGGTGGTATTCATATAAATATAGTATTCGTTGAACAGTCGAGGCGCGACTCTAAGACTTCATTACCTATGTAGGGTTACGAATATTCTCTATTAATTTAGATAATGATAATTTATAAATTCTGCAGACTAAAGTCTTTGTCCCTTATATTGTTATAAGTGTACGTTTTCTCTGTTACGCTACGACTAAGTTCAGCCCGCTAGCGTAAATAATTATGTTTCCCTAGTTTTTAATAATTGTGTAATACAGACTCTAATGTTGAACGATGAGCCCCAACCCAGGACATACTAATTATTAATCATGCCTAAAATTTATCCTCATAATGTTCCTTCCGCATTGTCAGCGTATTTGTTAAAAACGTTTAGGTAAGAGGGCAGATATACTGTTCTGTTACTACGTTAGCAGCTTACGTCTGAAGATGCCTACTCGAGGGCCTCCGCAGATATTGTTTCTTTCTTTGTGAATACTGAAACGAATTTCTTTGATGGATGTTGACAGCCACATGTTCTTTTCGTCGGCAGCACCAAACCTCTTTCCTTGACTAACCTCTTCAACTTAGGTCGTTTACAGGCATCCAGGTTGCCGTTCTTGATCAAATTCGAGTTGGAAGACAGAAAAGATCGTCTCAGATGATTCGCTCACTTAAACATCAAGTCTAGGTGGGTCGACGTCTTACTCACTGTGTATTGATGCTAGTCAACCTTGTGAAGCTACCCAGTAGTGAAGAAACAGCAGCCCAGACGGGGACATGTGCATACAAAACGTACAGAGCGTGTTGGCTGACGCATCAGCAAGAATATTGAAAATAATGTAAGGATTGTTTATTGTCCTAAAGCTACCGTCTCTTTTTGGCACTTCTTGAGAAGTGACTATGTACGCGCCAGCGATCACCCACAAGGTGGTGAAGCCCTTATGGTCTCCATCTCAAGCCTGATATGCGTATTTACAAACACTTACTCATATTTTTGAGCATATTCGCTCAACAACCAATTGTTAAAACATAAGAAATATTTGTGAAGCTCGTTGACTCACCTCTTGGTTCTATGGGGTATGAGAGCTGCTGTGGAAATGATCGAACACCGTATGCTATGTGGACTCGATAAACAGTCCGTTGCAGACACCGCCAACGCCAAAACAATGCAGTGCTGTTACACAAGAGACACACCAGCCTGACCACCTACCCCGCAAGGTGGAAGACCTTGACAGTATAAAGACATGCAAAACCCCCCACCAAACTCCAAGCTCCATAAACAAAGTAGAAAAAAAAATCGAAAGCAAAACAACAACTCTACACTGCACTTGCTGGCGCATCTGGGATGTCCACATCACCGTCTTCTCCTCTCCCCCATCTGTTCGGCTGTGTCGGTGCTCCACTCTCTGTTTCTGATACCGTTGGCAAGTTGTCGATCTCGATGGCATACCGCGATGCCACGCCGAACTGCCTCAGATTTTTATCGTACGTGAGCCATGCGCCCGAGGATGCCAAGCGGTTTCCTAGCCAGAGGCAACGGTCCTGCCGTTCCTCCATCATGGAGGCAACTTCGAAATATTTCTCCTCGTCGTCAATCTTGGCGGCGGTAAACCAGTCGGCTGGGTAGTATTTCTCGACCCAAAGGAGACCGCGCTGGGCGAAGTCGTCAGGTAGCGGGCGTGGGCTTTCCTTCTCGTTTCGGGGAAATGCCTCGTTCTCAATCTTGTCAAAACGTGAGCAAGTGCCGACCAGGGTGTTGAGCATGAGTGAGATGAGCTTCCAAGGGATCTTGGACTCAATATGGCCCATGGCGACGGGGAATTTCGAAAGATGGTAGAGGAAGGAGAGGGTAACGTGAAGATACGGTGTGACGCTGGGGTCACCGAAGCGGCGAAAGACGACATCGTGCGTGCGGCAGGTAAAGTCAAGGGCATCAAGAAACTTCTGGGATGGGGCGGCGGCTTCAACCCCCTGCATTGCCGTATCCGGTTCGTCGGCGCGCGCTCCTGACTTGATCGTTCGCATAATGACGTTCGATTCGCTGCCATACTCTAGGAGGGAGCACCCGAGGGCGATGCCGATGTAGTAACCACTCTCCATCCATCGTCGCGTGGTCCGGCCAATGTGGTTGTCGAGACTCCCGATGAACTCGTCCACAGAAGGGGCGAGTTGCTCCTGGTTGCGGCCAGAGAAGAGGATGCCGTGAGCTCGAACGAAGGCAGCATCGATCTCCTGGAGACGGGTTGGCGACCCGTTGAGATGCGGCTCAAATAACGTCATGATAGACTCGCGAGCTGAAAGAAAGGGAATCGGAACGCATAAGCTTTTCGTATAGTAAAAGAGCTGCTGAAGAGCATTTGGCCTTGCAAGAATCGCAAGATGATGATACAATCTGCCAGTTGTGGGTGCTTTGTCGCTTGCTTTCGAGTACCAGTGTCTACTGACAGACGTCCAGACCTCGCGGTCCTTCAAATCATCATCCTCAATTGCCATACTAGATATCATGTCAGAACTCATACCATTCAACCTTGTCACGTGAAGACAGTCAGCTTATGCTGTTCACATACCGATATCTTCCAAGATCACCCAAGCACTCAATCCAAGTGTCTTCAAAAGTGGGTACCGTTTCATACAACAAAGCCATCATTGAGTAGGCCAAATATATAAAGGTCAACATGTGCTCTAGCGAGGCAGGAAGACGATGGCGCAGAAGCTCAAGGAAACTGTGAATCCCATGCCGCCACATACGGGCTGGCATTGCATATTTGCTTGCTAATCGCCTCAAGGCGGGGCTGGCTGACGGGTGCTGAGATGCCAAAAAGAAATCGTGGTGCTCGTGTAACAAGGTTCGATGTAAAGCGATAAGTGCTTGCCATTGCTCGTTGTTCAGTTTCGGACTTGACTCTGTCGTTGAACTTTGAGCATTATCGACTTCGATACATTTGCTCTCGACCATTACAAGCCCAGCGTATATGCCTTTGACCTCAGCAACCAGTTGCTCCTGAGAGATAGGACGCGTTTCTGGCTGCTTGATCAACACTTCCGTTTGGTCAACCTCAGGGCTGCGGGGCTCAAAAGAGCGAGTCGTCGAAGGCTTTGGCGACTCTGTATTGTCTTTCCTTTTCAGGGGCTCCTCTTCAGGAGACCATAGCTTCCCTGCCTTCTGCGTGGGCTCTCTTCGAAACTCGCTATCGGGCGCCCGGCTAGCATTGCCAGGTTGAATAGGGGCGCGAGCTCGACTTCGTTTAGGAGGGAGGGACGACTCGTCATTGTCTCTTTTGAGACTTCGGTTCGAGGCAGGACTCTTCAACTTCCGGCTATGATCCCCTTCCGAAGTGGGTTGAAGTATAGAAGACTCTAAATTGCCAACAACGGCGGTATTGGAGATCGGTTGGGATAGCTCTGAGGCGGCATGGGTTCCGGTAGGTTGAGGTGTGGCTGTTGGCAGGGGGTCGCGTCGGTCTTTAATTCTGCAGGTATTCGGGTTAGCGCCTGAACATGCGGCTCTGTTGACGGTGACGTGACTTACTGAAATAAGATTTTATCGATTAAATTTGTTTGGTCCACGTCACTGAGTTCGTGATGGTTCTCCTGGACGTGCTTTCGGATGTCGTCCTTCGTGGAGTGGGGAGGTAATAGCTGCTTGCAAGCTGGGCATTTGCGTCTCAAGTCCGCTTTTTGCCGTCTAGATCCAATGATTAGTGTGTCGATATCCGCCTTCTGGCCTGCTAAAGTCTTGTTCTCCGTCATGTTTGACCCCTTCTCTTGCGCTCGCAGTGTAGACCGGTACCAGGAAGACCGACAAAAACTGGGATCTGTGCCAAAGGATCGGACTAATATTTCTCCTAGGATTAAGAATAGTTCAAAGACGTCTTCAGGAACATAAGAAGCTGATCGCTCCCGCTCTTATTTTGCTTTAGATGGCGAACTAAGTTTGGAGGCGGCTTGAGGCAAATGGGAAGCAAAAAAGCGAGGGTCATTGATGGACATGCCAGGCTGTAATGGAATTCAACCGTCATGTTGGGGATCACTGTCGCGAGCGATTGTGCCAAAAAATGCGAACCAGTCCGCCAGGGAAGCTAGTGGGCGGCTGCCTGACGGAGACATGCGCGCACCATTCAATTTTTTCAGGGTCAAATGGCAGCCCCAGCCATTTTTGAATCTGCACCTCCTCATCATTCTCTGCCGTCCTTAAGGTATAAAGTCCTGACATCTTCCTCCGACGATTTCGCAATCCGCAAGCACGCCCGATTAAAAACCTAGAACAAGGCGTTCGTGCTGCCCGAATGCTGGCCGTTGGATTTCTATCCATGGTTAGCACTTCGATACATCGCAGCAGCGCTGTAAGTTCAGAGGCTCACACGGGGCCACGTAGCATGGGGGAAGCGGAGTCGCCCGGAGAGCGCTGCAATGACCCTGGGGTTGTGTGGCCAAAGCGCGTTGTCTGCCGCCCTCGCAGTTATGTAATTTTTAAAAGTACGCATGGGTGGGCGGAAGCTGCAGAATCAAGGGCGGACTTCTAAACGCAGTTTTCCTGCCCAATGCAAATATGCGTCGGTGTTCTGACAAGCTGCGTCCGATACAGCGGGAGACGGCCGAAGGGGTTGCATCCCTCACAGATATATCTGCTGTCTGACATCCTGCGGGTCATGGGGACAATAAAAGCGTGACCATCCCCTAAGGCCGAACATACCCGGTCTCATTTTCTATCCAATCCACAGTGACACTCTCAACAGTCTCCATGCAGGATCTGTTGTTCAAGGCTTCAAGTCAGCCATGCCTCATGTTCCTTTCTCATCATCTTTTTCTCCTCCCCGAAGTCTATCCTGCCCTCAAGTACATGAGGCATTAGTGTTTTAGACAAGAATTTGGTATCAACCATCATATGACTGATGCCCCTAGCTGAACGATGCAGCAGATTGACTGTCTCGGCCTACCACAGCACCTCGGCGGTATTTTACATGCCTCTTGAGCTTTTTGCTTGCAATGATTGTTCTTTCTATCTTTCTTTCTTTCTTTTTTCCCCCTTCCTTTTTTTTTTTTTTTTTTTTTCTTTTCTGTCTTTCTCTTGCAAGCGATTGGCGGCTCAAGTGGCCATCAGCTCAGCTGCGCCGGGCGGGTCCCCGGGCGCCGGGCGGTGCTGACTCTCTGCTCCGCGAATGGACGACTACACCTTCCTTGTGATGGTTTCGATGCTGAAAACAACGCGGGGATTTCTTTATTGTCTTTTCCAACTTAGAAGACGACAGTGTCGCAATTCTTGCTTTCATGTCTTGGCTTTTCCGTCGCCGAATACTCCGGTGGCGGCTGAAATACTTGCCACACATGCACACAGCCGCATTTCAATCCGGCGTCGCCGATATGTGCTGAGGCCAATACAACGACAGCTGAAGACTCTTCCTAGCTGAGTAATGCAACAAGAGGCGAATTCCTGGTGAAGACGCATCCAGAGAGAGACAACCGACATGGGGATATTACTTTGTCTGGTGTTCTCCGCTGCAGTGTGTGCCGAGGCTGGTCAGTTTAGTGGCTATGCTCGTATAAACACTAATCATTCTGTCGTCCTCTTTCACGATCTTGATTCAACGAAGCTGACGAGGTTGCAGTTACGTGGCGCCGTGGCTTTTGCCGGTGGCGGGACCTAAGTCCGCGCTCCAATCAGCACATATCTGAGGCTCCGACCACTTGCAATCTCCAACTTACCGAAGGCTTGGTAACTTCTAGGGATTGAGGTACAAAGCAAACCTGGATTCTCATTCGCTATTCGGGTCTTTCGCCGTTGCTCTGGATGTGGAGGCCTGCCCAGAAATTTTCACGGTGAGATCTTCCCGACGCCAGCATCTATTATCTACCTTAATGGCGAGACATTCGGAAAGTCATGATACCATAGCTTTGCCGGCCTTCATTCGCTCAAGAACCTAGCCTCCTGACGCATGATCCGGTTGCCTTGGTTCGATACGAGTGCTGCCTCAGTACCAGGGCCTAGAATAGCAAATATTTTCAAGGCGGTTATCTGCCTGGTTCAGGGCCCTGTTCGCTGGCCAGGCCACCACCCTCTCACCGAAAGAAGATGTCATCAATACTCAAATAGGCAGAAGCGGGTCACACTATCCATCTTGAAGCCTGAAGCAGAAGTTGATCTAAGCTGATCAATGACCATCGCACTGGAGTCCATTGGTCAAGAGACCCGCAGCTGCGCACATTTTGCTGATGCCTTTGCACAACCAACAGTCTTCCATTCGCATTTGTTAACACATGGATTCTAGACCTGGCAATGTCAAAATAGCATTGGTCCACCGAAAATTGAGGACTGAGGCAGGAGATTGTCAATGGTTGCCTATCCTTGGCTGGACATTAAGAACAGAGCCTTGCAAGCAAGCAGGGATCTATCTGGTGAGTTATATGCTCTCATGATTGTGAGATCCAGTTAGATGTCGATATGGTACGTGAACATCGCCACTCTTATGCGATAGACGTGTCATTGGAAATGACGGACCAAAGGCCTCTTTCAGCTGTTGAGTCTTGCCCATAATTGGGTCGGCCATTTTCTTGGACACAGCCAGATCTAGGCAGGAGAGGCTGTCACCTGAGTTTAACCCACCATTCAAGAGGTCTCTATTGAGGACCTTGCAGATGTGAGGCCATCTCCAGACTGAGTCATAACAGCTAGCCACTATTGGACGCCAAAATCTCTGGCGAAGTGAGAGCTCCATTCTTGTTGGTATAGCAGGCTTGTAATGTGGCGGCATTTCCCCGTTCCGGGCACCCGACCTTGAGGCCACAGCACCTTTCAGTCTAAGCCACAGACGAACGGAACAACAACAGGCGAGAGGTATTTGTATGTTTGCGACAAGAGAGATATCGTCCAAACAGCGTCCACATGCATGGACTTGCGACGTGGCTCTAATCATCGGAGACACGACAGGGTGCGCCAACTGGCCGCAATCAACCGTCTAACTGGCCGTTTGCTCAAACGCATAATCGCAGATGAATGCACCATGATGATCCAAGCCTTGATTTGTTCGTTCTTTGGAGGAAGAAGAAGCGATGCAACAAGTGGCTGCAGGTCGACGGTGTGCTCACATTTGCCGGGGCATGTAAAAAGTACCAATTGCGACTCAATTTGTAGTCAATTTAAAGTTCAAGAGCAGAGTAATTGAATGAGGCTATTAATATCTTGACAGTAGAGATGCTATAGCTGCTCATTGGTTCATGTCGGGATGGAAGGCTTGGGAAAGTCCCCCGACGGATTGGTTCGTGCTTCGTGGGCAGTCCACATTCGCATGGATAGCAAAACTGTTTTCATGTTCTAGTCTACGCCTTCGGGCATTTGGTCAATTTGAAACGATGTTCTAGTCTACTAAATTCTCTTCCGCAAATCTCGGATTTCTCAATGCTTCATGACTGCATAGCTGTCGCTGCAAGCGTTGATAAACTGAATTGAATGACCAGCATTTTCGATTTGCCTCTTGGGGGGAACTTTTCGTGGTGTTCCAAAAACAAGTTATGTCAGGATTATTTGGAGAGTGAAGTTCAGAGATCCACTACACGCTAGGTTTGGAATTGGCTAGCTTGTAGTTTCTGCGGGTGATTGAATAGTTCCATGCAGCGTTGGTGGATTTTTCACTTGATTGCGGGTAGCTTTCATAGAATCCCATAGCCCGCAAAGTCTTCAAATCAAACCTGACCATCTCCTCTATTTCTGGACTATTTCTTCTTGAGAGTACTAACGGCCAAACATTCAGCAAAAGTCCTCGCAAGATGCTTTAGTTTATTGATTCTCAGTCAATGAGAGACGTTGAAGAAGATGACGTAACGTCACCCGAGAGTTTGCATGGCGAACCGATGCAAATGAGGCAACTTATCATAAAGTGGGTCGCTTCAACGTCCCCTGATCGAGCAAGGCATCCGAGGGCCGAACTGACGGCTGGGTCCGTCCAGTGTTGTCTATGTTTCTTACAATGACGCACCTTTATGCGGCATCACCCCACAGCCAAATTGGATCCCGTCCGGTACGATATCAGAAAATATTTCTGACTCCTGCTTCGATATCTGTCGGTTGAACTGTTGTATCCCTCTGAGCCCGCTTTGCTCGGACAGTGGTCTTGACCTACAAAGAGTCAGAATTTCTGCCCATCGATACCAGAAATCACCTGACTTTTCCTGAAGATCAATCCAAGCTAAGCGGAGGCGCAGGTGAACCCAGATCTCCTGCCGACGCTCGATGTCTGGATGCTTTCAAATATCACCTGTTAACTGTCACCTTACTGTGGGTAGATAATATGACAAATCGACCTCGAATCTTCGCACCCTCGTCCGTTTTCGACACTAATGAGCAGACGAAGATCGCCTCGTCTTGTCTTGCCTAGCAGACCCATCGCTTTCACGTTTGTCGACACCAAACGATTGCCTACGATAGCTGCCTGGGGACCATGGCCGATACAGACCCCCTTCATAAACGATACCGAAACTTGACCTCACGTTACACCGAATCCGAGTGCTTCCTGCACAATACAGTGCGCGGGCTTTGTTGGGGCGTCGGGTGATCGGAAACGAATGCGACAATCCGCGCAGAAAATCAGGAAGGCAGCCCTACCGCTAGGCGGACGAGCCATGGCCGCCGAGCACCATAGCAAGCATGCCTTGCATGATAGTTCATCAGGCCCTCGTACTCTCGTACGCAGTCATGGCGCAGGCAAAAGCAAATTCTGTATGGAGTAAGGGGCGTTGGCATTGAGCATGTCGCCCGG